TGGAGGGAAACTGGAGAGAGTGAAGCAGGGTACACAGAGGCGGAGAGCTGGGGGCCTGGGGCCAGCAGGCCTGGGTTCGAACCCTCGCTGTAGCCATGGCATCTGGTGAGTTTCCAATGTCCTCTGAGCTTCGGCTTTGTTCCCGGGGCAAGTGCTAGTTACCGCCTGCAGGAGGGAGTGAGGACTGAGGCCAGTCACTTACCGCACGCTTGGCAAAGTGCCGGGCGTGCTGGCAGAGCCGGCCCAGCGGAGAGGCTTGCTTCTGGGGGTTTCCCTGCAGGGTCACCTGCCTGCCAGCTGTCCCAGTCCACGCCCTGGGCCTCCAGGAGCTGGTCTCCCAGGTCCGTGCATCTTGTCTCTCGGCCCTCTGCTTCCAGCCTCCTCGGTCCTGCACTTGGGGCCTCAGCCAGGCTGCTTTCTAACTGACTTCTGGGCCTTTCTGTGGGCCAGGGCATGCTGCATTCCCTAGGACTTGGCTTCCAAAGCCCAATGCACCATCCCTAAATACGCCATGTTCTTCCACCTTTGCTGGAGCTGTCACCTCAAATATCTGCGCATTAAGGCTCGGTGCCAGCGCCGCCTACTCATGAAGGCTTCTTGGACTGCCCACAGCTCTCCCTGGAGCTCCAATTTTGCGGCCTCTTAGGGCTGTTTTACAGTCACCTGTGCTCTTGTTTGCAGGCCCCACCACAACCTACAAGCATCGGGCCATGTTTGTTCATCTTGGATTCCAGTATCCAGCCCAGTACTCAGAATAGTACCCAGCACAGTACCTAGGATAGTACTCAGCCAGGACCCAACCAAGTACCCAACATAGTACTCAGCATATACCCAGAACAGTACTTAGCATAGTACTCAGCCCCGTACCCAACTCAGTATCCAGATAGTACTCAACATAGTACTCATTACAGTAGCTAGCATTGTACTCAGCACAGTGCCCAACCCGGTATCCAGGACAGCACTCAGCACAGCACTTGGCACAGTCAGGACGGTGCCCACCTGGACTTGGCTACATTGAGGGATGGCCCTGCCTCACCCCCTTCCTCCAGCTTTCCTGACCTGCTTCTCCTCCCCATTGAGGTCTTCCCTCCATCCAACTCCTCTGACTGTTGCCCTCACTGACTCCTTTGAATCAGAATCACTTTGCGGCTGCAGTTCAAGGACCCCTTCCCAGCCGGCTGGTGTCCCTTGCCAAGCACTTCTGGGCTGCGTCCTTGGTGGGGACGGGCTATAAAAGCCAGAGCGTAATCATCAGGGCAGAGAAGGAGGGTAGAATCTGCTTCTCAAAAGTTGACTTTGCCCGCTCAGCCACGGCCTCCGGCCCCCTGGCCCCAGGCCCACAGCACACAGGCCGCTGATTGATATTTTGGTTTGGGGGCAGATGTTTCTGCTTCAGGCCAGGCAGGGCTTGTGTTCTGCTGGCCTTTGGGACTGGCCAGCTCTTCTCTCTTTGGCAGGGAAGCCGCAGGCTCACTCCCCTGCAGAGGGTGCTGGGTCCCGGGGTCTCCTGTGGCCCGCTGTCTAGCCCGTGCCTCCCTGACCAGAGATCAGGATGGAAAGGGTCCAGAGGCCTAGAGGAGGTCACTGGGCTTTGGGGAGGGGACCCTTGCCCTCAAGTGGACTTTCCAGGCTTGGCTGGCTCCTGGTTGTGGCAGAGAGAGGCTGAATTTAGCTTTTTCCCCAAGCTGCTGCTCCCTTCATTTATGGGGTTGGATTCCATCTGAGCTTAAAATGGGCAGCAGCTATAGAGGAACTGTTCTGCAAAGTTAAGTTTCCAATTTCGTGGGGCCCCAGCGCCTCCGCTGGGAAAACTGGATCACTGTGGTGTGCTAGTCATCTCGCCCGCTTGGTGAGTGGGCACATGGTCTCCTCCACAGTCCTGGGTGTCGGAAACATCAGATCCTTAATCGTTCTCATTATTTCTCATCAATAATTTCTCATCATTCTTATTATTTCTCACTGGATGGCCACGCTCTGGGACCCCCGCTCCTGAGTGACATGACATGTTCTGTGAACAATCTTACTCAGTCGGAACATTCCAAGGTGGCCCTCAGCTCTTCAGACCCCACTAGTCACTATGGTGCCTTTGTCTCCACTTTGCTGCTCGCTGCTGAGTGGAACTGGGGGTCCCTGCTGGGTGCTGGCTTCCAGGATTTTGCTACATCCCGCTGCTTGACATGGTCCCTAAGCCCCCAGCAAAACCTCTTTCCCTCTCTTGGGGAATCTCCCCGCTCTTCACCCTACCTGCTCCCCGACCCCACTCAGGGCACACGGAGACAACCCACGGCAGGAGCTTGTTTAACATCCCTCCTTTGTAACACACGCAGGCGGGGAGGCCCCTCTGTCTCTCATCACCACCGTCACCATCCTTGTCACTATCATCATGTTAACCATTCCCAGATGCAGCAGCAAAAAGGGTTGGGACCATTGTCTATTTGCACGTGTTGGGGGAGGGTCTACAGAACTGCCCGACACTTTCTAAAGCACACTAACATATCCAGGGCACGGACGCTCCACGCAGTGGGAAATCCGCTTGTGATTTACAGCTAGCCCTTTGTATATGCAGTTCCTCAGTATCTGTGATTCTACGTGTGCAGATTCAACCAACCTTGGGTTGTGGAGTAAGTATTTCAGTACTTACTACTGAAAAAAATCCTTGTCTAAGTGGACTCATTCAGCTCAAACCTGTGTTGTTCAAGCATCAGCTGTGTGTATGAGAGTGTGTGTGTACAGTTCTAAAGTTAACCGGGGGGGAAGGTAGAGCTCAGGGGTAGAGCATATGCTTAGCATGCACGAGGTCCTGGGTTCAATCCCCAGTAGCTCCACTAAATAAATAAATAAGCCTAATTACCTCTGCCCAAAAAATAAATATAAAAAAATACAGAAGTTTTTAAAAAATTTAAAAAATAAAGTTGACCAAATAAAATACGTTCTTTTCAGTCTCACATAGAAACATGTACTGACACTGACCACATTTACAAAGGCAGTCTTAGTCAGCCCCAAAGTATTATCACGCATACTACACCGATCCTATTAATGAGATAAAATTAGAATTTCTCATAAAGTTAGAAAAAGGACACTAACATATCTATGTTTTAATTAATAGTATTTTTTAAATTAGCATTATAACCCTATGAGGTAGAGAAAGCTAGGATTGTTAGCACTATCTCAGGGTGAGAAAGGGAGGCCCAGAGTGACTGAGTGACCTGCCTGGGGTCACACAGCTATCAATGGGGGAGCATCGGACATGGAGGGAGCCCCTCCCCGACCCCACCCACAGAGAAGGGTCAGACGGGTCAGCCGGCTAGGACACCAGTCTGAGAAAACTGACTGCCAGCCTCAGGGAGACAGGCTGGGGGACAGCTGGAGCTTTAAGCAGATGCTGTCAGTAAATACATCAGAAGGTGAGTAACAGATAGTAGCAACAGGGAGCAGCTGTGCCCCGGTGGAGAACGCAGTGTGGGCCAGGCACGTACTAATGGCTTTTCCTGTATCAGGCAGTGCTTCTATAACCCTGGGTGCGTAACCATTATCTTCCTCCATTTCATAGGCCTGGAGAATCTAAGCACCATAACAAAGTTCCACAGGTAGTGGGGAGGAGCCCTGGAATTGGGGTCCAGTCGTATTTTCACTGCAGAGACCAAGATTCAAAGAGTTGGAATAACAACCATCGTGGCAACAGCTGAAGTTATCAGTGTGTTCTATTTGCTAGACGCTGTGTATCAGCCTTGGTCCTCCAAGAAGCCAAGGCCAAGATGAGATTGAATGGATAAGATGTTTAACAGGGAACCTCTATGAGAGAAAATGAGGTGGGAACCCAGAGAGGCAGGCAGGGACTAGGCTTGTCCGATGCAGGTCTGACCCCGAGTCCAGGAGAGCGGGGAGCATCTTGGACTGCAGTGCGGTTCTAAGGGAGTTTGGCCAGGCTGTGGGGCATCCTGAACCAGTCCCCCATCAGAAGAGTCCCATGGCCCCTAGGAACGGGCCTGCCTTCGTGTTCCTGCTTGGTCACTGGTGGGAACAGCTGAAGGAGCCAAGCCTTGGTGCCAATGGCAAACTCAGAGGTATTTCTGGAACCTCAGCTGGGGCCCTGGCCAGGCCTGCTCCCCGCAGTAGACCTGAGCAGCAGATTCTCAAGGCCCCGCACACAGGGACACATACTTCACATGCATTTTCTCAGTTAATTCTGGGGAGAAGGGGAAAAAAACAAACCTGAGAGCTAGGTACTACTGACAGCCCCAGTTTACAGATGAGAAAACCCAAGTCCAGGGAGATAATGAAGGTAACTTGCCTGGGTTCACACGGCTGGGGAAGGGAGGGAGCTCACGTCATCTGACAGCTCCGGGCGCTTCTGTGCTAATTAATCTCCACCACCGCTCGCTCACACCCCAGAGCCCTGAGCCGGCTGCCCGTGGTCACAGGAGAAGAGTGCGGGGGCTGCGATTTGAACCCCAGCCCCTCTGGTCTCAAAGTCCTGCCTCTCGCTGCATCCTGCCCCTGTCTTCCCAAGGCTCTGCCTGTTTGCATGCTGTCTAACGCCTGGGAACTGGCTTTGTGTCCACGGCAGAAAATATGCCAGCTGGAGCCGGAGGGCTGCGTAAAGGTGGACGTGGTGCTGCGGGCGGCTGAGGCCCTCCTGGCGACCTGCCGCGAGGACCAGAAGCCCGAGATCCTGGCCCAGCTGAGGGACATCAAGGCCCAGTGGGAGGAGACGGTCACCTACATGACCCACTGTCACAGGTAGGGCGGCCGGGGACCTTGCCAGGCCTTTGCAGCTGCTGCCGACCCTCCGTGCCCACTACCACGCTGGCCTGGGACCACTGCCCAAGGGACATTTCTCCAGCCCTGGGATTGCTGGGAACAGAGTGTCCTCTTGGGAAGTCAGCCAGCTGTGCCTGCCTCTTTCTAATTATAATCAAGCTTAATGATGATGATACAGCCCATCGCGTTTGGCCAACAGTTAATTCTTAGTAGACTTGCCCACGTGTGCATCCTCCAGCGGAACGGCCCCACGGCCCTGGGGTAAGAAGGACCGTTACTTTGCTAGCACCTTAGCCAGGATCCTCTGCTTGTATCAGGGAGCCAGGTGGCAGGGGGTTTGTGGGGTGGTGCTTGGACTGACCTGGCATTGCCTCTTGCTCTGCTGGTTACTTGCTGTGTGGCCTTGGGAAAGTTACTTGACCTCCCTGAGCCTCAGGCACCTCATCTGGGCCATGGGTATAATCAAGTGTTTCTTGAAGGCTGTTAGGAGGATGGAAGGTGATAGCGAATATCAAGTGCTCGGCATCCTGTGGATCCTCAGTGGACAGGAGCTGCCGGCATCTTCTCCATCTTTATAAAACCAGGATGTTGAGTGGACTGAGGGCACTTTGCACAGTGCTTTCTGCTTTTCAAGCTCTTTCTCTTGGAATTCCAAATAAAGTGGCTTGATGTTGTCTGGACCAGATAGGGCCATCTCCATGTTACAGATGGGGAAACTGAGGTGGGGGTGGAGGCAGGGCAGCGCAGTGAGTCCATGATGCCTCTGGAGCCCACACACGGGCCCCCCAGCCTTCTGTCACCCCTGAGTGGGGACAGGCCCACCCAGCCTGCTGCACTTTGCAGACTGTGAGACACGCTCCCCGTGGCAGTCTTCTGGTGACTGCTAGCGGGCACCCATGTGGTAAGAGCCGGGGTGACTGTGTGCTGAGTCCCAACACCATGGGCATTGTGCATCAATAGTGGGAGTTTTAGGCTAGAATTTGGGGTCCTGGTAGCTCAGGGCATCAGCAGGCTGGTCTGGAACCTGAGTCCCCCAAGCCTTGGCCCCATGGATCCTGTTTACCAGACAGGAGGGTCTTGTCTAGGAGGACTGGGGTGGGGCCCAGCGAGGGTGTCCTTGTGCCCCCCTCCCTCAGCCCCTAGTTCCTGGGAGGGGACAGCGGCCTGGCTACTCTGCCCACGAGCCGGGGTGGGGAAATGCTCACGGCCCGTGGTGTCTGTGCCCTCAGCCGCATCGAGTGGGTGTGGCTGCACTGGAGCGAGTACCTGCTGGCCCGGGACGAGTTCTACCGCTGGTTCCAGAAGATGACGGTGGCCCTGGAGCCCCCCGCGGAGCTGCAGCTGGGCCTGAAGGAGAAGCAGTGGCAGCTGAGCCACGCACAGGTGCTGCTGCACAACGTGGACAGCCAGGCTGTGCTCCTGGACCGGCTGCTGGAGGAGGCGGCCTCCTTGTTCAACAGGATCGGGGACCCCAGCGTGGACGAGGAGGCCCAGAAGAGGATGAAGGCCGAGTACAACGCAGTGAAGGCCAAAGCCCAGGTGGGTGAGGGCGATGGGCTGTCTCCATCCATCCGTCCGTTATCCTCTCCCATCCACCCATCCAGCCACTCATTTGCTCGTTAACCATCTGTCCATCCATCTGCTCACCTTCTACTCTCCACCTGCCCAACACCCACTCACCCACCACCACCCACCCACCTACCCACCCTCCTATCCATCTGTCTCCCCACTGAACTACCCAGTCTCCCATTCACTATCCGCCCACTCACCACCCCATCCACTTATCTACCCAACCATCCATCCATCCATCCACCCTCCTATCCGTCTCTTTACTCACTCATCCACCTACCTCCCCACCCACCTAGCCAAATCTCCTATTCATCTATACAACCACTAAATC